CGAGGCTGAGCACATCCCACACTGAGGCACAGCTGGGGGCTGGGCTCCCGCCAGGTGGGGAGGCCCAGGGGCGCACGTTTTGGGAAACCTGCTGCCTGGAGGCTGCCTGGATCCAGACCGCCTGGCTCCAGGTGCCGGCGGATCCGGGGCTGTGCCTCCCACACCGGCGCTCCCCTTGGGGCGCTCAGGACAGACTCGTCCTCAGGCAGGTCACGAGCTCTCCTCGCCTGGCAGAGGACAGTCGCTGCCAGCAGGGCTGTGGGGTGGACGTGGGGGCCTGCCCGCTGCTCCACATTCCCACGGCAGCAGTGGGGCTCAAAGGCATTAGAAGAGAACGTGGCAGTGCCCACAACAGTGGCAGCCGTGGACGCTTCCCAGAAACCGAGACTCACTGCCCGGAAGTGAGGGGGCCCTCGGAAGACACCTGGCACCTGCAGGCCTGGTGGAGCCCCCGCTGGACCCCCCCCTCCCCCAAGACTGGTGCTCCACCCCCACCTGCCCCTGACCCCCCCCACCCCTCCAGCCCACAGCAGCCCCCCCCCCCCGAGGGCTGAGCATGAGGCGCTGCTGTCCCTGCTCCCTGCACAGCCCAATCTGGAAGGGATCCAGCTCCAGCTGCTCCGAGCCGCGCCGCCAGCAGAGCCAAGTGTCCCCACCCGGGTGGCTCTGCGCCTCTCGTGTGGCGGCCTGGGAACAGCCTTCGCAGCTGCAGCTTTCAAAGCCTATCCCTGGAGCCGCTGCACGTGGGTGGGCCCTGGCGGGGGGCAGAGGGAGGCCCCACCTGCTGCTCAGGGACCCTGCATCAGGGTCACTGGGTGCTCACTGGGTCCCTGGGTGGAAGTCGAGGGGGGTTGCAGGAAGCCCCGGCTGACGAGAGGCCAGCAGGGAGCCCGGATGCCCGGCAGGCTCATGGGTCCAGGCCTTCGGGTCCCTGGTCACAGAGAGGAGGCCGGGTCTCAGGTGGCTGCCTCCTGGGACACACTCTGCCTGCCTGCCCGCTGGCTCTCGGAGTCCACACCCTGTCTTCTTGCTGACGGATGAGCGCACCTGCACCTCCTGCAACCTCCCGGCTCCTTCAACTGCCAGCCCCGGGCTGCGCTTCCTCCCCGCGCCTCAAGGCTCTGACACCTCGTCCTCTCCGGACACCCGCTGGGCCGGTCACCGCCGGCTACACAGACGCGCCTGTGTGCCCACGTCCGCCAGCACAAAGGCCTTTGCTTAGGACAAACACTCGAGGTCCTGCTTGGACTGAGTGTCTATGCAACCTGCTCGTCCCAAGGCACCTGTGGGTCTGAGTCCCACCGTGCACACCTGCCGTGTGGCCTCGGACAGGTGAGATCCATGTCTGTGGGGCTGGAGTCTGGGGACAGCAGGGCAGGCGGAGCCACCGCTGACAACACCCCTACGGCCGTGAGGGGACCCGCCGAGGAGGCTCCGCGGAGCCTGTCCTGGCACCGGGCCCCAGGCCGGTATGCTGCCCACCGCGAGGCCCTGCGTTCAGGAAGAGCCGCCTGTGCAGGGCCCACTGGGCCCCCGCTCCCCTCCTGTAATCGCCTCCCCCCTGCTGATGGGGGCCCTGGCGCCTCGGTGAGTGCCATGGCCGCGGCTCCTTGCCCAGCCCTGGCCACGCTGTGCACTGGAGTCTGCTGGGCCTGGGAAGAAGCCGCCATCCAGGTGTGGAGAGAGAGTGCCGGTCACCAGGAAGGCTTCCTCTGGCAGGTGCAGCCCCGACGCACTGGGGAGCCCCGGGGGTGGCGTCTGCGGTGGTTCCCCTGGGGTCCTCGGGCACTGGCTCAGAGACCCCGTGGGTGGCGAGGGCCCTACCCTCCGGGGACGAGGACTCCACGCCCGCTGTGCCCCCCAGCTCCGCTCCGCCGCACCCCTGGGGGCTCAGCTCGTAGGCCGGCTTCCCTCCCGTCTGCAGCGTGGCAGTGACGGTTTCCTCCTGGGCGCAGCAGATGCCATCACCACGACTGCCACCACCCGAGGAGCAGCTGTCCCTGCCGGGAGCTGACGGGCCGGGCCACAGGCAGCCAGGCTGGGAGCACAGAGGAGAGTCCCTGGGGCTTCCTGCAGGACGGGGCTCTCCGGTGACAGGCAGGGAGCTCAGACAGAACCGCCCATGTCGGACCTACGCAGACCCTCCTCGGCTGCAGTTGGGTGTTTCCGGGGTGTATAGCCACACGAGCTCTCTTTTTTCGAGACAGAGCCTTACTCTGTCGCCTGGGCTAGAGTGCCGTGGCGTCAGCCTAGCTCACAGCAGCCTCACACTCCTGGGCTCAAGCGATCCTCCTGCCTCAGCCTCCCGAGTAGCTGGGACTACAGGCATGCGCCACCGTACTCGGCTAATTTTTTCTATATGTTTTTAGCTGACCAATTAATTTCTTTCTATTTTTAGTAGAGACAGGGTCTCTCTCCCTCTTGCTCGGGCAGGTCTCGAACGCCTGACCTTGAGTGATCCTCCTGCCTCGGCCTCCCAGAGTGCTAGGATTATAGGCGTGAGCCACCCGCCCGGCATACATGAGTTCTTGAAGCTGTTGTGATTTGAACCCAGGACCCAAAACTGAGCGGCCATTTCTCTGCTCCCTGGTTGCTTCGTCACAGAAGAAGATTTTTCTGCGGCAGGGGATGGGGGTTGTTGCAGGGGAGCTCTGCAGCCTGGTCCCTGACAGGTCCCTGACAGGCCCCGGGGCTGGGATGCAGGTTTAGAGCAGAGTTTTCACCCCCAGGCGGAAGCCCTGTGCTGGCTGACAAGGCGTCTGCCCCGGGAGGCACCTGTGTGTGCAGTCACCTGTGTGTGCAGTCACCTGGCTCCTTTCTGAAGGAGGCGGCTGTGGGGCCATGGGCTCACCAAGTCCAGCCCTGCCCACGGCTGCTGTCCCACCTGGCACAGGGCCTGGGCTCCCACCCGCCCTCGAGTACAGGAACACCTGAGACGTCGAAACGGACCCAGAATCCAAAGAGTTTCCGTTTCCCACCCAAGAAGCCGTCCTCGTTTGGAGACTTTGAGTGACGAGGCCGGTCACGGTGGCCCGAGTGGGCCGTGTGGACACCTGGCCGGCCGGCGGGGGACTCACCACTTGCCCACGATCTTGCTGGCGTAGCCGGCCTCCCTCAGCAGCTCGGGCAGGAGAAGTTCCGAGTCCGGGATGCCGCCCACGATCTCCTGCGGCGTGTAGGCTGGCGGAGCAGCGCGGCGTGAGCCCCCGGGAGCCCCGCACAGACGCCGTTGCTGACGGCAGCTTCTCCCGGCCCTGCCCGCCATGGCTGGGGGCAAAGCCGTGCTGGGGTGCCACTGTCCAGGCACCCCCAAGTGGGCACCAACACAGGGGTGGGCACGGGCAGACTGCTCCCCCTGACCCTCCCCAGTACCGCCAGGCTGGTCAGCCAGGGTCTCCGGAATGCTCCGCGTGACCCTGCGGCCCTGCCCTGTGCCTCTCCATCCTCCCCACCCTCCTCTCTTCTAAGGCCACGGCTCAGAGACCCCGTGGGTGGCGAGGGCCCTACCCTCCGGGGACGAGGACTCCACGCCCGCCGTGCCCCCCAGCTCCGCTCCGCCGCACCCCTGGGGGCTCAGCTCGTCGGCCGGCTTCCCTCCTGTCTGCAGCGTGGCAGTGACGGTTTCCTCCTGGGCGCAGCAGATGCCATCACCACGACTGCCACCACCCGAGGAGCAGCTGTCCCTGCCGGGAGCTGACGGGCCAGGCCACAGGCAGCCAGGCTGGGAGCACAGAGGAGAGTCCCTGGGGCTTCCTGCAGGACGGGGCTCGCGGGGTGACAGGTAGGGAGTCAGACAGAACCGCCCATGTCGGACCTACGCAGACCCTCCTCGGCTGCCGTTGGGTGTTTCCGGGGTGTGTAGCCACATGAGGTCTCTTTTTTTGAGACAGAGCCTTACTCTGTCGCCTGGGCTAGAGTGCCGTGGCATCAGCCTCGCTCACAGCAGCCTCACACTCCTGGGCTCAAGCGATCCTCCTGCCTCAGCCTCCCGAGTAGCTGGGACTACAGACATGCGCCACCATACCCGGCTAATTTTTTCTATATGTTTTTAGCTGACCAATTAATTTCTTTCTATTTTTAGTAGAGACAGGGTCTCTCTCGCTCTTGCTCGGGCAGGTCTCGAACGCCTGACCTTGAGTGATCCTCCTGCCTCGGCCTCCCAGAGTGCTAGGATTATAGGCGTGAGCCACCCGCCCGGCATACATGAATTCTTGAAGCTGTTGTGATTTGAACCCAGGACCCAAAACTGCGCGGCCGTTTCTCTGCTCCCTGGTTGCTTCGTCACAGAAGAAGATTTTTCCAAGGCAGGGGATGGGGGTTGTTGCAGGGGAGCTCTGCAGCCTGGTCCCTGACAGGTCCCTGACAGGCCCCGGGGCTGGGATGCAGGTTTCGAGCAGAGTTTTCACCCCCAGGCGGAAGCCCTGTGCTGGCTGACAAGGCATCTGCCCCGGGAGGCACCTGTGTGTGCAGTCACCTGTGTGTGCAGTCACCTGGCTCCTTTCTGAAGCTGCGGCAGGCGGCAGCCGGGGAGCAGAGGTGGCTGTGGGGCCATGGGCTCACCGAGTCCAGCCCTGCCCATGGCTGCTGTCCCACCTGGCACGGGGCCTGGGCTCCCACCCGCCCTCGAGTACAGGAACACCGGAGACATCAAAACGGACCCAGAATCCAAAGAGTTTCCGTTTCCCACCCAAGAAGCCGTCCTCGTTTGGAGACTTTGAGTGACGAGCCCGGTCACAGTGGCCCGAGTGGGCCGTGTGGACACCCGGGCAGCTGGCGGGGACTCACCACTTGCCCACGATCTTGCTGGTGTAGCCGGCCTCCCTCAGCAGCTCGGGCAGGAGGAGTTCCGAGTCCGGGATGCCGCCCACGATCTCCTGCGGCGTGTAGGCTGGCGGAGCAGCGCGGCGTGAGCCCCCGGGAGCCCCGCACAGACGCCTCGCTGACCGGCGCTCTCGCGGGCCCTGCCCGCCATGGCTGGGGGGCAAAGCCGTGCTGGGGGCTGCCACTGTCCAGGCACCCCCCCCCAAAGTGGGCACCAACACCAGGGGTGGGCACAGGGCAGACTGCGTCCCCCTGACCCCTCCCCAGTACCCGCCAGGCTGGTCAGCCAGGGTCTCCGGAATGCTCCGCGTGACCCTGCGGCCCTGCCCTGTGCCTCTCCATCCTCCCCACCCTCCTCTCTTCTAAGGCCACCTGCAACCCTGCCCCGTCTGTGGGACTGTCCCTGGGGAGCCCACCCAAGCACCTCGCACACTGTTTCCAGAACATTCACTGCTGCTGTCCCCCTGGCCCGGCCTCCTCAGGGCCCCCGTGGGGTCCAGCTGGCCCACAATGAGAGCCAGAGCTCCGGGAGGGAAGGGCGGCCACTCCTCGGGCCTCACCCTGGTCTCCACCCGCCTGGTGTGCGTTTTCTGGACGTGGGTGTTGCCGTCTTAAAGTCACACATGTGACAGGAATAAAGCACCTGACCCTGTGAACCCGGAGCCACAACACAGAACCAAGGCCGCCGTGAAGACGGCTGACCCCCTCCCCACCCCGTGTCCCTGGAGGGCGGGGTGAGGGTGGGGCACCTACCGTTTCTGGCGTGGGCGTTGGTGGTGTAGAAGCCGTTGCGGATGGGCAGCCGTCCCGTGAGCAGAGCTGCCCGGGCTGCACAGAGGAGACAAAGAAAGACCCAGTGGGAAGGGCGTCGGGTCAGACCCCACCCGGCTCCACGGGGCTGCCCTTGCGCATGAGCCCTGCTGGGGACGCTGCTGCATCCGGGGCGAGCGTCAGGCCCCAAGGGGCTGCCGTGGTTTTCTGCACCTCTGGCCCTAATCGCCCGCTGCACAGAGAGGCGTGGACCTTGTGTGCTGCAGCTCCGTGGTCTCCCTGAGGGCCCTGCCCTGCCCGCCAGGCGCTGGGACACCCGCTGGATTGTGGGTCCCTGCCTTCCCAGCCAAGTGACTCTCCATGGGGGTCAGGATGCCCCCGCCCCACAGGACCGAGACCCCTCCTCCCCCCACAGCTCTGCTCCTAGAGCCAGGTACAGCCACTCAGCCCCGGGAGACACAGGCAGCACCTTTGACCTTGATGGTCAGGGTGGGACCCAGGGGGACAGGCCCCACCCCACCTGCCAGCCCCCCGGGGCACCTTGGGAGAGAGATATCTCCCCTCCCCAGTGGGCTCTGGGGCCCCCACTGACTTACACGGTGAGCACAGGGGGTTTGCAGAATAGAAGTTTGGGAACAGCATCCCTTCTGCGGCCATCCGGTCCAAATTCGGCGTCTCTCTGGAAGGTTCTCCATACACCCCCAGGTCGCCCCACCCCATCTGCGGGGAGGAACAAGGAGAAGTGGGTGAGCGACTCTGGCTGGCAGCACTTCCGTCTTGGGGAGCCTCTGTGGGGGCCAACGGGAGCGAGTGTTGTGGACTGCAGGACCAGCCCCTTGTGCGCCCCAGCTGGGTTTGGATTAAACCCAGCAGTTCCTGCCAGGGCAGGGCCGAGCTGTGTGGCTTTCACCCCCACTTGGCAGAGCTGCCTTCCTGCCCACTGGGCACCGCCGCTTGGCATCTCAGAACATGCACCTGCTTCCAACACAAACACGCAAGCCCTCATCAGTCTGTCTGGCAAATTTAGATTTAGGAAACGCGCCAGGTGGGGCCTCGAAGGCCCATAGTCCCAGCTACTCGGGAGGCTGAGGCAGGAGGATCGCTGGAGCTCGGGAGTGGGAGGCTGCAGGGAGCCGTGACTGCACCACTGCTCTCCAGCCTGGGCAATAAGCAGAACCCTGTCTCAAAAAAGAAAAAAAAAAAGGGGTCCGGTTCCCCCAAAAGCTAAGCCTAGAGTCACTATATGACCAACAACAGCCCTCCTGGGTACACACCCAAGAGAACCGAAACCTCCCGTCCATGCAGACCCTGTGTGAACATCACAGCAGCACATGTGCACGGTGACCGTCAGCTGCATCGTGGTCTATACGGACCATACCGGGTGGGACCTTGGTTTGGAAACAGGGTCTTTGTGGATGTAATGAGCTAAGATGACGTCACCCTGGAGAAGGGAGGGCCCAAGTCCAATGTAACTGGTGTCCTCAGCAGCAGGAGACAGACACAGACACACAGGGGACAGCCATGTGCAGGTAGAGCCCAGAGTGACATGGCCGTGCACTGAGGAATGCCCACGGTGCAAGGAGGACCTTCCCCAGAGCGTTCAGAGAGAGCCCGGCCCTGCCAACACCCGCATTTCTGTTGTTCCAGGCCACTCAGCCTGTGGTCAGGTGCTACGCCTCAGGACACGAATCCACGTGCCACGGGACACCACTCAGCCACAGAAAGGAACGGAGCCACGCATGCTACGACACCGGTGAACCTCAGAAACATGATGCCGGGTGACAGAGCCAGACAGGAAGGGCCACAGCGTGTAACTCCACTGCTATGACCTGATCCCAGATCAGCCTCTGCCCCGGCCCTGCCCCAGGTGGGACGAGGGGGAGTGGTCCTTTAACAGGTGTGACTGGCCGGGGAGTGGGCTTCTGGCCATGCACCAGGTGGTACGCTAGCTTGGGGGGACGCTCGTTTTCTGGAACTGCACCCCGTCTTGTGAATGGGCAGGCCCAGCACCCCGATGACTGGGCAGTGGCAGTGGGCAGGGCTCCAGGTGGGAATCTGAACCCAAGACACAGGCTCCCCCTCCAGCTTCTGTGGCTCTTGCCCACCGGCGGCCCTGCCCCTTTCTGATAGCTGCACGGTGGGGCCCTTCAGGGCATCTCCTCCCTGCTTAGTCTGAGTGGATCCCCTGGGCCCTGGAGGCCTCCTCTCACCGGGATGGGCCCAAGGTCACCGCTGGACAAGCCCAGAGTGCATAGCCCAGGGGCAGGAGCCAGGCCAGGCAGACAGGCGGGCTCTGGGTCTGCCGACTGTGGGGTGAGCCTGGGGGTGCCTGGGGCTATCTCCAGGTGCTGTGGGGCCAGAGGCTGGGTAAGGATGTGGCCTGCTCAGAGACAGCAGAGATGTGGGAGGGGAAACCCTGGGCCTTGCCTGTTGGAAGCCTGGGCCCCCCTGGTCCGACCAGCTAGGAGGGCCAGGGATTTTCCATTCTTGCTCATCACTAAGTTCATTTTTCTACCATTTGCATCAAAAAGTCCTAATACGAGCAGCACAATTCATGATCCCAAAGATGTGGAAACAACCCAAGTGCCCACCAATACATGAGTGGATTAATAATATGTTGTATACATATACCATGGAGTACTACTCAGGTATAAGAAACAACAATGGGCTGGGCACAGTGGCTCATGCCTGTAATCCTAGCACTCTGGGAGGCCAAAGCAGGCAGACCTCTGGAGGTCAAGAGTTCAAAACCAGCCTGAGCAAGAGCGAGACCCCGTCTCTACTAAAAATAGAAACAAATTAATATGACAACTAAAAATATATATAAAAAATTAGCGGGCATGGTGGCACATGCCAGTAGCCCCAGCTACTCCGGAGGCTGAGGCAGAAGGATTGCTTGAGCCCAGGAGTGTGAGGTTGCTGTGAGCTAGGCTGACGCCACAGCATGCTAGCCAGGGCAACAGAGTGACACTCTGTCTCAAAAAAAAAAAAAAAAAAGAAAGAAAAGAAAAAGAAACAATGGTGATATAGCACGTCTTGTATTTTCCTGGATAGAGCTGGAACCCATTCTACTAAGAGAAGTATCCCAAGAATGGAAAACTAAGCACCACATGTACTAGGCTAACGCCACGGCATGCTAGCCAGGGCAACAGAGTGAGACTCTGTCTCAAAAAAAAAAAAAAAAAAAAGAAAAATGGTGATATAGCACGTCTTGTATTTTCCTGTAGAAATGAACCCTATACTACGTGAAGTATCCCAAGAATGGAAAAATAAGCACCACATGTACTCACCAGCAAATTGGTTTCACTGATCAACATTTAAATGCACATATAGGAATAATATTTATCAGGTGTAAGGCAGAGGGGAGGTGGAGGAGGAGACGGGTACATACACACATAATGAGTGTGATGCACACCATCTCGGGGATGGGTACACTTGAAGCTCTGGCTGGGGTGGGGCAAGGGCAACATATGTAACCTAAACATTTGTACCCCCTAACATGCAGAAATAATACAAAAAAAAAAGGATACGGAAGAGGGATGGGGAACGCTGGGGTAGGGGTGAGGAGGGGAGTGAGTTGCTTGGACACCTAAGGAGGGTGCCCAGGCAGAGGAAGGAGCAGCGCAGATGCCCGGGGCCAGCATGGCCCGAGGTCGGGGGCAGTGAGAAGAGAGCGGTCAGAGATCGGATCAGAGAGCTAAGCTGTGCTGCAGACTGTGCGGGACCTTGCAGGTCACTGTAAGAACCTGGGCTTCTATTCTACGTGAGTGAATTCTACGTGTGAGCTTCTGGATACACCTGGAAGGTTGAGCAGGCTGTGAAATGAGAGGGGAAGATAGGAGTCCCGGCCTGACTCCGAGGATGTTGGCATGAGCAACTGGAAGGCTGGCAGCTGCCTTCTCCGTGGAGAGGAAGCTCAGGGAGCAGTAGGCGTGGCGTGTGGAGGAGACCAGAAGGTTGGTTTCAGACACGTTAAGTTTGAGTTGCTTATTAGACGAATCTTTACTTGTTTTGAATTCTCTATTCAATTTGGAGAGTCAGTAGTACTCCTTTTTCAATATCACAATCTAACAGAAACTAAGAACTTACACAAGGCTGGGCGAGGTGGCTCACGCCTGTAATCCTAGCACTCTGGGAGGCCAAAGCAGGAGGATTGGTTGAGCTCAGGAGTTGGAGACCAGCCTGAGCAAGAGCGAGACCCCCGTCTCTATTATAAACAGAAAGAAATTAACCAAACAACTAAAAATAGAAAAAAATTAGCCAGGCATGGTGGCACGTGCCTGTAGTCCCACCTACTCGAGAGGCTGAGGCAGGGGGATCGCTTGAGCCCAGGAGTTTGAGGTTGGTGTGAGCTAGGCTGATGGCACGGCACTCTAGCCCAGGCAACAGAGTGAGACTCTGTCTCAAAAAAAACAAAACAAAACAAAAAACAGAACAGACCAGCAGGAACTGAAACAGTGGAATGAGTGGGGAGGAGGGTTTTGAGTGTTTTTGTTTAAACAAGGGAGACAGAGTGACATTCCACAATCCATTTTCTTTCAGCAACTGGTATTACTTTTGATTTAGTTTTCCACAACCAGCCCAGGGCCATTAGTACCAGTGTTGTAGCCCTTGGATTGAGGTAATTCTGAAGGAAAGCTTGGGGACTCTACTGGGAAACACTGCCCGCCCTGGGCCCTGAACGTTGCCGCACGTTCTTGCCCAGTGTGCTGGATTGCTAGGACGATCTGCCTCCTGATACCGAACCGCTTCTCTCGTTAGGCACAGAGGCAGTGAAGCCATCAAAGTGGAGAGAGACTGGCTTGCTGGTTGCTTGCTACAGTGTTTGCTGCTTGCTCAAGTGCTGGGCCCTTAGCCCTGGGTTCCTCTCCTGTAATGCACCCCACTCAGGTACAGGTGTTGTCTCGACCACCATCACCTGCACCCCCGTGATATGTAGGGGCTAAGGAACTAGTGCAAATATGCAGATACCGTTTGCTGTGTTGTTAGTAATAAAGTCCTTTGTCTCCAGGGGGGGAAAAAAGTCCTAACCACAGGTTTGCTGACTAGGACAGAGGCCTCCTAGAGCTCTCTGGATTTTACTGCAAAAGGTCCCTCAACAGCCACAGAAGCACAACTCAGGGAGGAGCCCGCAGCCCAGGCCCCTGGGCCGCCCCAGCCCCAGGGCGCGTGGGGGCTTCCTGGTCAAACACCCTCAAGCACACACAGTCAGGGGCACAGGTCACGCTCCACCACTCAAACAAACCCCAGGATCTGAAACTGCACCGTCGCACAGAAACAGAAGGTGAGCTTCAGGTGTGATTTTACACTTCCTAACAGCCGCACGGGAACAGTAAAATTAGGCGAAATGAAGGCTTTTTGTTTAACCCAATATATCCAAAATATTATCGTTTCAACAAGTCCTCAACGTAAAAAGCACATTCACGAACTGCCAGGAGGGGTCCTCACCCGCTTCCCACGCCCGCCTGTCTGTCAAGGGGAGGGCTGGGAAGGGGCAGGAAGGGGCAGGAAGTGGCAGAGGGAGCCCTGGCTGCAGAGTCGGTGGAGAAACTGAGCTAGCTGCAGGAGGCACTGAAACTGCGACAAGACCAAATACTGAAACGGGAAGTAACTTTAACCACTTCTGTACGGCACTCGCTAGCCGCGAAACCTCGCCCACGGCCGGCGCTCACAGTCCGCAGGATAGTCTGTGCTGTGCGTTGACGATGAATCCGTTTTGCTCTTGTGTGATGAGGAAAGCTTTAAAGCACTGAAAGCTTGTTTCACTTTACAGGCAGCTTTACTCGTCATGTAAATCAGAATAGGTAACGCACACATATATGTTTTCATTGCGTTATTTTTAAATGTTCACAATTTTATTTTGATAAATGAAAAATTAGAAAAGTCCCATCACGGCTGCCAGCTACAGTCGCTGTGCGCGTTCATCTGTGGCTGTCGACTATGGCTGGTGCTCGTACCCAAGTGGTTAACAAGAACTGCTCATGCCCGAGCGGGCCCTGCCTCCGGGACAGGCGCTCCCAAGGCACTGGAGGGTCCGAGACGGGCAGCAGTCACTGGATAAATTGGTCAGACCACAAACAAGTCAGTCCAGCGTCATCAGCAGTCACCTCTGAGCACATGACTCAAGGAGAAATCATGGACGGTGTCTACTATCTTTGCAGGCGTATCCGAATGTCGTTCATTTGTTTATACTAAAGAATCGTTAATTTTAATACTAAAAAGTTATTAAACGATACATCTTACATTCTTTTTCTCTTCCCAAGTCTTTGCAATCTGTGTATTTCACACGCATGTTGGCACCTCCCGACTCCAGCCAGTCAGGACTGCCCAACACCCACGTGGGGCTCGTGGCCACCGTGCCCATCAGCACCGCCGTGGCCTACCGCCCCTGTCGAGGCGGCTGCTGCGCTGACAGGCACTGAGTGGCCATGATGGCCCTAACTGTCCCGTGCTCACAACAGCTGCAGGCACACAGCTGGACCCGTGGGACCCTCGTAGGGGAGGCAGTTGAGGCTGGAGGAGCTCAGGTGACTCCCTGCAGCTCAGGACCAGCGGGGTGTGGGCCAGGTGTGCCTGAGTCCCGGGCCTGCCCGGTGGGCTTGCTGGGTGATTTTGGTACAGCAAAAACGGCTGCACAGAGCACACTTAGGGACTCCTCAGGTGAGGGGCACAGGGATGAAGGGACAGTTCCAGGGCTCAGCCCTGTCACCAGCACCTGGCCCACCTCTCTGGGCCTCACACCTGGCCAACAGGTGACACTCTCACCCCCCAGTTCTTCCAAGCCTCAGAGCCCTGACCCTTTGGTCAGCGCCCAGGTGAGATGGGGCCTGGGGCCAAGGGGTGCAGGACGCCCAAGGCACAGGTGCGGGGTATCGGTCAGCTCTGCCCGTCCCCAGACCCAGGGGGCTCCCCCCGTTTCCTGTGGTGGCCACACCGGCAGCACCTCCCCAGTGGGGGCGGGAAAGGGACAGCGGAGCCGCGGAGCCCTCAGGGCACGGACACCGCCGCCAGCCTCTGGCCGCCCCACCTGCGGCCGGTGGGCAAGGACACCACCTGGGCGGCCCGCGCGCAGGGTCACCCTAGTGGCCGGGTCAGCGCTGGGTCACCCGCCCGGACCCCGCGCCCCTCCCCCCGCGCCCGCGCTCACGTCGTCCATGAGCAGCAGCAGGATGTTGGGGGGCTGTGGGGCGCTCGCGGCCCCCATCCCCAGGGCGCTCAGCACCACCAGCAGCAGCCGCCACCTCGTCGCTGCGGCAACCGCCACCATGGCAACCACGCGTGGGTCTGTGGAGCCGGGCCAGCCGGCTGACTGAACTACCCCACGGCAGGCGCGGCCAGCCCGGCCCGCTGTGGGGCGGGGCCTGGGAGGCCACGTGACAGGGCGGGGCCTGTGCTGACAGGGGAGGCGGGGCCTGTACCCGCAGAGTGACGGGGCGCGGAGCCTGCGTAGACATGAGAGGCGGGACCTAGGGGCAGGGCGGGGCCTGGCCCCGCTGAGTGACGGGGCGCAGAGCCTGCGCTGACAGGAGAGGTGGGGCCTGGGCCCGCTGAGTGACGGGGCGCGGAGCCTGCGTAGACATGAGAGGCGTGACCTAGGGACAGGGCGGGCCCTGGATCCGCTGAGTGACGGGGGCGGGGCCTGGACCCGCTGAATGACAGGGCGGGCCCTCAGGGTGGGGCGGGGCCTGGGCGGCCGCGTGACCAGCACCGGGTCGCGTGACCCTCAACGGGTCACGTGACGCGGCGCCGGCGGGGCCTCCCAAGATGGCGGTGTGCGTCGCGGTGATCGCCAAGGAGGTGCGTTCGCGGCCGCCGGGCCTCCGCCTCTCCCGCTGCCGGCCCAGGGACCCCGCCCGGTGCTCGTCCCTCCGCCTTCCGCGGCCCCGCGAGGCTTCTTAAGGATGGCGCCCCGGGGAAGCCCTCCCAGCTGCTCCCGCAGCTCCCACCGGCTGAGCGTAGTCCCCCGGCGCCTCTGGGCCGCCGGCCTCCTCCGGCCCTAGCAGCCTCTGTTGGCTCCTCCGAGAGCAGCGCGAGTCTTCCGCGCAGCTCCGTCCTCTCGCCGCCGCTCGCTTGGGCAGCAGCCACCGTGCTGTGTTAAAAACATGGGATGTCACGACTCTACCTAAAATTTCTCAATCGGCTTCTCCTCGCCTTGGGATGATGTCTGAATCCCCAGGTTCAGGGGTGCCCCCTGTACTCCTTGCACCCTCCACACCAACCAGATGGAGTTGCTTGCAGCTCCCAGACAGGCTCTGGTGTCTGGGCTTTTGCATTTGGAACCCTTCTCCTAGCCTCCATCCGGTTTGCTGGCCAACTATTTCATTTCCTCTGGCGAGCGTTTTCTGAATGCTAAGACTGAGCTGGGCAGCTGTCCACATGCTTCGACGACAGCAAGCCTTAGTCTCCTATCCAGGGTTTCTCCTCAGATCTGGGCTGTGCTGCAGTGAAGCTCCTTCTGGGCTTCCCTCTTAGCAGACGTCACAACTTGGGGTATTGGCAACTTTACCCTGATGAACCATGTCTTGTTCACCATCTCTGCAGCAACCCATGCCAAGCAGAACTGTGGCATGTGGGAGCCCAGGAAAGCAGCTGCTAACTCTGGTTTAGGCTGGTCAGCAATGCAGAGATGAAGGGAGTTTGAGCTGAGCCTGGAAGGGTCTAGGAAAAGGGCCATTGTCAAGGTGAAGAAATTGCAGTGGGTGGCAGTTTAGGAGATAGCCAGTGTTTACGGTGCCGTAGTAGGATCACCACACAGGGAGAGGTGGGCTGAGGCAGAGAGGACTCCAGGAAGGTGAGTGACCTGCCCAGGCTGTGGTCAAACCCGTTTTTCTGAGTTGTTCTCTCTCTTCTACCCACCCTACCAATGCTCCTTTGCAAACATGTAAGCCTACTTAGATGAGGGCACTTCCCTCAGGGGTGTGGAGAATGAAGCGATGGGTTGAGACCATGACCACGGATTCCATGGGTGTCTGGCAGGTTGGGTGTCTGGCAGGTTACGTGCCTGCCCTCCAGAGCAGTCTCCAGCGCTGCTCAGAGCTGCCACAAGCCGGGTAGGTTCTCGTCCTTTCAGCAGCCATCATCCTTTCTTGCAGAATTACCCTCTGTACATCCGCAGCGCCCCCACGGAGAACGAGCTGAAGTTCCACTACATGGTGCACACGTCCCTGGATGTGGTGGACGAGAAGATCTCCGCAATGGGGAAGGCGCTGGTTGACCAGAGGGAGCTCTACCTGGGCCTGCTCTACCCTACAGAGGACTACAAGGTGTATCTTTCGGTGTCTGGTGGGGTTTGTGTGGGAGATTGCACCTGCAGTTGCCAAGTGTGCTTTAGGATCAGAGAACTTTGAAACACTTTAAAAGAAAAAAAGGTGAGGGTTTTGAGCCAGCCAGAGAGTTAGGGAAGCTTTGGGTTAAAGAAGGCCTCTAACTCTTCCCTTCCTTTAATTGGAAGAATCATTTGGGAAAAGCAAGGCTTGCATTCCTCGGAGAATGTGGTGGTTTACACCTGTCCCTTGTCTGGTTTGTAGAGGACCAGGGACTCCCCTGCTTTGCCCCTGCAAAGGTTTCCTTCTGTGCTTTTCAGGGGAGCCAGCACCTCATTTATTTCATTATCAGGTCCTGCCTTTAAGTCACTAGAAGCTCTTGACCAATTTCTTAGGACAAATTAGTTTGAGATCCTGGAGGTCAAAGGTGGTTCCACGAGCATTAACGTAGCTTGTCCACAGTGACATTTGCCACTGCTGTACAAAACAACCTATCTTCTATGGGTGGGTGGGTGGGGGTGGGAGGATTCACTTTATTCCTGAAATTTCTGGTTTCACAGTTAACTTTCTAGGCCAGGCATTGATCCAGAAAGAGGCGTTGATGTCCCAGGTGCACAGACAGACCCCGGGTCCCGGAGTGTGGGTTGGGTAGGGCATGGCTGGCTGCTCCTCCTGGAAACCCCAGACACCCACTGCTCATGCTTGGTGTGGTCGCTGCAGCGCACTTGATAAGATTCAAGGTTGTCTTGTTTCTCCAAAGCGAGGACACACAGGGCCTAGGGCCCACAGGTGCCTCACACACTAGCCCGGCACCCCTAGCACATTCCCTAACCAGCTGTGCAGATACGGCTATGTGACCAACTCCAAGGTCAAGTTCGTCATGGTGGTGGACTCCTCCAACACCGCCCTTCGGGACAACGAGATCCGCAGCGTAAGTGCTGGGTGCTGGGGATTAGAAGACCACCCCTGAGGGAGTCGGTTGGTTTGGTTTGTTTTCTCTTTGTCTTGAAATGCTGAGAACCCAAAAGTCTGTCAGTAGCTGTGCGTGCATGTTAATTTAAAACGCCGCCGGGTCTTGTTTCAGATGTTCCGGAAGCTGCATAACTCCTACACAGACGTGATGTGCAACCCCTTCTACAACCCCGGGGACCGCATCCAGTCGAGGTGGGCCCTTTCTGTGGTTTGCTTGCACCCTGTTTCTGCAGGACCTGCCTTGCTAAAATGCAGCCGTCCAGAAAGTAAAGGAGGGAAGGTCTTAAGTCACGAGCACTGCCTCCCCCTAAGGCAGTGATTTTCCAAAAAGCTCTGACACATACCTTTGGAGTATAAAGCAGATAAGAGGGGCAGCATGCAGAGCTTGCACATTTGGTTTCCCAGGTGTGCCCGGTAGGTACCTGGGAAGCTCAGTGAGGGAGAGGCCCAAGTGCATGGACAGCAGCCTTCAGGCAGAGAACATCTTCGTGTCACTGCCCCAGTCTGTCTTTGTGTCGAACTTGGACTGAAGGCATCTTCCAAATAGCCTTCGGAGCAAACAGACTTAATGTTTGGACGTCGTGAAGACGCTACATACGGAAACGTGGGGTCCGTGTGCACACGTTCCAAACCCGCTTCCAGGAATTCCCCCGTCCCAGGACAATTCTTTACACAATGTGCTTGTGTCAAGTGTAGTTGGCAGGTGAGGGGACGCTACTGTGACCCAGGCCAGGTCCCTCCCTCAGTCAGGACAGTGTGTGTCCTGGGTCACCCCACATCTCAGGTAAGAGCGAACAGGTGAACGGTCACTGCTGGCTGTCCCCCTGCCTGGGACCCGTCAGGCCTTGGCACTGGGCCACACAGCCAGGGACCTCAGGAAGCCACGCAGGGAGCTGGGGGCAGGAGACAGGTTCTCGGTGCTCGGTGTGCCGGGGCTGGCCTGTCGGCGGGTTCACTCTCCAAGCCCAGGAGGAGGCCCCGTGGGTCCTGGGGATGGGGCGGTGACAGGGCCCGTCTGTGCCGCAGAGGGCCGGAGGAGCCGGGTCTGTCCCCTGCATTGGTCCGTCTTTGTTGGCAGGGCCTTCGATAACATGGTGACGTCGATGATGATACAAGTCTGTTGAGCGGGAAGCGTCCCAGCGGAGCGTCTGTGCGCAGCTGTCGGGGAGACGCCTGTCTGTCCCCGTTGCCTCCTCCCGCATGCAACCCCCGCTGCTTGGGGGCAAGAGCTTCGTGCCTGGTGCATCTGAACTAAAGCTCTTGTGAGATGAAACTTGGCTTTTTCCTTCTGTGTCTGCAGAGGACTTAAGGAAGGAGAGTTCAGCCCCGAGGACCTTCTAGGCGTGGGGGCAGAGATCAGGGGTCAAAGCCAGCGGAAGCCTGTCCCCACCCAGCAGGAAGGGTCGGGGCTGCCTGGAGCCCCCCAGAGAGCTCAGGGCCTGCAGGTGCCGTGACCCGCCAGGGCGCGTGGCCAGTGTCTGCTCCTTCCTGTGTCCATCGGGATCGGCCTCTTGAGCCCAGAGCCAGGCTAGGGTGTAGGGACAGAAGGTGCCCGCTGTGAGGCAAGTGCCCTCCTGTTTCTGGACTTGGCACCCACTGTTTGCACCTGGCCCACGGTCTGGCCTCAGCAGGAGCCGTCGTGAGGCCTGGAAGCCTCGTGGACCCGAAGCGCCTGGTCACCTGCTGCCTGCTGCCGTGATGAGCAACCCTGAAGAGCCCTCCCTCCCTGTTGGTGTCCCCGAGCAGGCTGCCCCGGGAGCTCAGGATGAGGGTGACTGTCACTTGCGTCTCCGCATTCTGCTCCCGAGAGACCTGTGCAGCCAAGTCCAGATGAAGACCAGGACCGAGGCGACAGCTCCTTCCCAGGATCCAGTGGCGGAGGGCTATAGTTCCCCTGTCCTTGGACAACCTGGGAGCCACCCGGGGGTGGCAGAGGTGGCGAGGACCACTGAGGGGCTGAGGCTGACTCCTGTGTCCTCAGGGCCACCGGCTTCCCAGAGTGGAGCCACCCAAAGCTTGGCCAGCTGGGGAGACTCCCCCATCATCCCTCCCTCACCCTTGGCCCTGGTTCATAACTGGGGGTTTCTCTGGGACCTTCCAGGGCCCAAGAATGCCCAGGGTAACATGGAAGGCTGGTAATATGGGTGAGCCGGGGCCGGGCCCGGGGAGGTGAACTTTTCTCCACGTAGCATTGCGTTCTCACCCTTCCTTCGGCATAGGATCAATCTTACAAATCACAGAAGGAAAAGCCAGTCGGTGAGGCAGGGGTGTCAGAAACGCCTGTCCCGCGCCCCGGGTTGACTTGGCCGACAAGGCCCAGGAGGCTGATTCTGATGCCTTGGCCCAGGCCTCACTCCAGGGGTCCAGAATCTTCTTTCACAAGGCTGTTAAGAGGAGACCAGGACTCCAGCCCGGCACCTCCCCTGCAGTCCAGCGCGGACGCTTGGGCTTGTTGTGGGGGCCTCTGCGGAGTAAGGACTGTGGTGGGGACTGCGTGTTGCCAACCCAGCCGTCCCTCCCCTTCCCCCCCCCCCTGGCAGCCCCAGTCTTACTCGGTTGGCAGGTCAGGGCTGTTTCCCGCCCTCCCTGGAACCCCAGGTGGTTAGATTAACGGCTGTAAGGGCGTTAGGAGAGGCTTGCAGGAAAGATCTCTGGAAGGGGTTCAGCAGGCACCTGGAGGCCCTTCCCCTCTGTCTTTCTGCCCGGAACGTGGATGCGGTGGCTGGAGCTCAGACAGCTATTCTTCTGAGAGCCTGGGCAGAGACTCTACCACTTTTGACCGCAAGGGAGGGTTCTTTGCTGATGCACCAGCTCTTGACTCATGTCAGGATTTGTTTCTTTGTTTGAGAGAATAAAATACACTCTTCTCTTGCTTAAACCACCGATATTTGGGTTTTCTGTTAGGTGTAGCCGGACCAATCTCTAAGTACTTTCTATGTTGGGGTTTCACCAGCAGTGCTGGGGCGCGCGCGACCCATCGACCGAGTCGTCTACAGCCGGGGTGGCCGTCTGCTCCCCTTTGTCCTGACAGCAGGACCGTCAGGTGGCAGCTCCGCACTGTCTCCACCCTGAGTCTGGCTGGCTTCTCACGGAGGGCCACGGCCCTGCCGCCTGCCTATGTCCCGCCTTCCCAGGCCTGTCCTCCTCCCAGGCCCTGGTCTCCCTCCCCCGGCTGTCCCCTCCCCAAGCTGTCCCCCTCCCCAGGCTGTACTGCCTCCCGGGCCTGTCTCCCGAGGCTGATCCCCCTCCCCAGGCTGTCCTCCTCCCCGGGCCTGTCCCCCTCCCCGGGCCTGTCCCCCTCCCCGGGCCTGTCCCCCTCCCCGGGCCTGTCCTCCTCCTCGGGCCTGTCCCCCTCCCCGGGCCTGTCCTCCTTAGGCCTGTCCTCCTCCCCAGGCCTGTCCCCCAGGCCCCTTCTGCTGGGCTCTGCAGGCAGCGCCCCCATCTTTCCCCCGGGCCTCAGCGATGCGGCCTCTCCTTCCTTCTGCTCCAGACTTGGGGGCGAGGGGAGTCTGTCCCTGTGTTTGTTGCCCGCTCATGACAACCAGGGGGAGGGGCTCTGCTTTCTCGGGACACAGCAGAGACCCCAGCTGCGGGTGGCTCAGGGCCTCACCATCTGCGTGGAGCCCACGCCGAGGGCTCCTCTCAGCCTCCCCCCACGTTGGCCTGCTCAGCCCTGACTTCCCGAGAAAGGAGGACTCCCGGCCTCACTCCACAATCTCCTCAAAGCAGCCACACAGGAGGCCCCAGAGGGACAGGAACGAACTCACCCCATGGCTGGAGCTCCGGCCCCAGCATTCTCCGCCCCAGCCGCTCGCCGGCTCCAGGGGCTCCAAGACTGTGGCCTGCAGCATGTAGCCTGCTGCTGCCTGGGTGCTCCCCTGGGCTGCTCAGGTGTGTCTCGTGTGTCCGCGGTGTTGTTCTATTGGGCCGCCCAGGTGATGTGCATCTGGGGGTTGTTAGCTGTCGCACCTGGGAGACCTTGCTCCCAACAGTCACATTCCCGGGTGCTGGAAATGAGGACGTGGGCGCATTTTGGGGGCACCATTCACCCCACTCAAAGGCCATCACGGACCCAAGACCCCAAGAAGGGGTGTGAGGCACGGGGGGGGCGGCCGGAGACCCGTGTGGTGGAGCCACCTCTGCCAGGTGCAAGAGGAGGGAGGCGGCTGGGGACCTGGGGGCACCTGGGGGGTGGCACCAGGCAACGGTGAGGAGGAGCCCAGAGCAACGTCAGGAATGAGCAGGACAGGGCGTAGGGCGAGAGCTGCCCCAGAAACGCCCAGGAGGGATGCCAGGAGCAGCGTCATGCCGGAACCCGGGCAGGACCTCAGCCTGGGCTCCGAGGCCTCCTCTCCTGGCTCTGAACAGTCGGGTCACCAACAGGCCCTGTCTTCAGGGAGAAACCTGAGCGCTCCAGAGGGCACCGCGGGCAGAGTGCCCCGTCCTGCACAGAGACCTCCACGCTGCTTCCGTTGTTTTTTTTAGACAGAGTCTCACTCTGTTGCCCGGCTAGAGTGCTATGGCATCAGCCTAGCTCACAGCAACCTCAAACTCCTGGGCCCAAGTGATTCTCCTGCCTCAGCCTGGGACTACAGGCATGCACCACCATACCCGGCTAATGTTTCTATATGTTTTTAGTTGGCCAATTAATTTCTTTCTATTTTTAGTAGAGACAGTGTCTTGCTCTTTCTTGCTCAGGCTGGTCTCAAACTCCTGACATTGAGTGATCCGCCTGCCTTGGCCTCCCAGAGTGCTAGGATGACAGGCGTGAGCCACCGGCCCCGGCCTATGTTGCTTCCTGAACTTCTCATACAGGTCCGGCCTGGTGTTACGGGGGTGTGGGAGGAGCCAAGGCCCCCCAGGGCTGGCGGAGACGTCAACAACGCCGACACACCCCCTCACCTGCCCACCCCGTAGAAGGATGCAAAGCGAACCCGCGAACCCGTGTTCAAGAACGAAAGGGGGAGATCTGTTGCCATGTGCTTTTAAAAAATATTCAAATTTAATAATTTATACATTACCATTAAGACACACACATTTCTATTTTTCTTTAAAACAAGTAACCAAGAGCTGGGGACGCCCCCCCTGAGCCAGCCCTGCATTGGCCTGGGCCTGTGACCCCCCAACCCTCTACCACCCAGGGCCCCCCAGCACAGAGCCAGGCCCACCTGCCCTGCCGTGCCTGTGACCTGTGGCTGCAGCGTGGGGCCGGCCTGTGTGAGGCCTGGGGGGTCTGGTCCCTCCAGCTCAGTGCAGCCTTCCGCACGCACCTGGCCTCTAGCCTCACCCTCTGCCCCGCCCGCCCCACCTGGCAGCACCAGACGCTGCCCCCCTGGAGAAGTGGCCCCTGCAGGACACAGACGCACACACCCGGCGGGCTCCAGTTCTCTCTTCAGTACGGTGAGAACCACGGTGAGAACTTCCCTCGGCCCCTGCACACGGAGAACACGGGTGAGTGGGGGCTGAGTGGGGGCTGGGTGGGGGAGGGTCCCGGCCCAGAGACCTCCCAGAACAGCAGGTCCCCGAGAGCCAAGGCAGGAACGCCCGGAGGGGCCTGGCAGCTCCCAGCCCCCTCTTGGGAGGGGCCCACATGCCGCAGCGGGAGCAAGAGGTGGCAGAAGAACCCCCCCAAATTGACGCAGCCCCCACCACCATAGCCCCAGCTCAGTCCCCCTGGCTGAGCGCACGAAGGCAGCTGTGGCCGAGCTCGCCCCAGTCCTTGGTGACAGCAGTGCCAGGAAGGACCCCTACCGGTCCCCGGCCCCGGAGCCCCCTCCTGCCCCGGACACCCCCATAGCTCTCACCCTGGGCCGCCACAGAGCCCCCACTCACCGGTTCGGGCCGCGGGGTCTGAACCGGGGCCTGCCCTGGAGCCCGCTGTGGAGGAAGGGCGCCCCCCTGGAGCCTGGGTGCCCCCGCAGGCCCCCACGGTCGGTGGAGCTGATCCCCGGGACGTTGGTCCTTTTGGGCAGCACCTGGAACCGGAACCGGAACCCCGTGCTCTCCCTGCTGCCCACACCCAGCCCTGGCCAAGCCTGGGTGACCACTGCCGCCAGGAAGCCTTCCTGGGTTTCTCTGCTTGAGGCATGGAGTCCCTATGGGAGGCGCGGCGACTCCGGACCGACGCACCTTGATTACCCGGCCTCGGAAGACGCTGTCGTCCAGCTCCACGGCCGCCCGGGCAGAGCGCTCGGTGGCGAATTCTATGTAGGCGTAGCTGTGGGTGGAGGACGCGTGAGAGGCCAAGTGAGCGGTGGTGGCATGAGGGGGCCCCCCCCGCCCCTGCCTGCCACCCACACTGACCCCTTGGGGTGTCCGGAGAACTTGTCGCACAGGATGGTGACTCGGTGGATCTCCCCACAGCGGTTGAAGTGGGCCTCCAGCTCCGCCGCCGAGCCTCCATAGTCCACCTGGACACAGCAGGGGGGGGGTCCTCGGTGGAGGGGCCGGATGGGGCCCCAAGGCCGAGGCCAGGTGGGAGGGGGAACACGCCACCCCAAGCCCCCCACTCGGCGAGGCCTGGGCAGGGCGTGAGCAGCTTTCTTTCTTTTTTTTTTTTTTTGAGACAGAGTCTCACTTTGTTGTCCAGGCTAGAGTGAGTGCCGTGGTGTCAGCCTCGCTCACAGCAACCTCCAACGATCCTCCTGCCTCAGCCTCCTGAGTAGCTGGGACTACAGGCATGCGCCACCATGCCCGGCTAATTTTTTCTATATATTTTTTTAGTTGGCCAATTAATTTCTTTCATATTTTTGTTAGAGACGGGGGTTCTCGCTCTTGCTCAGGCTGGTCTCAAACTCCTGACCTTGAGCGATCCTCCTGCCTCGGCCTCCCAGAGTGCTAGGATGACAGGCGTGAGCCACCGCGCCCGGCTGCGAGCAGCTTTGTAACGGGGGAATCGTTTGCCGGCGATCGGCCCGGCAGGAGAGGGGCTCACATTGAAACATTGGAACATCCCCTAGACTTCGAGGCCCCGTTTCCTCGAGGGGACCGTCTGGCTGTCCCCAGTGTCAGGCCTCCTGCTACCCCCTCGAGCCCTTCTGGCATTGGAGGCGTCTGAGTCTGCAGCCCAGGTGCTCCCCTCCCCCTCCGCCCTCACGCGGGGGTGGGAAGGCCCCGTCCACAGCCAGGGCCCCCGGCTGACACCACCCAGGTGGGGCCCTGTGGGAGGACCAGGCCCCTCGCTCCCTGCCACTCACGTTGCCCACGTAGACGGATCTGTGGTCGGCCTCCACCTTCTCCTCGGGGTTCCCAAGGAAGGGGTGACCTGCGGGTGGGTGGGGGGCGGCCTCAGGACGGGCAGGTGCCTCGTCTGCAGCCCAGTCCTTCCGCCTCTTGGGGGGCTCAGAGCCCGCCCTGCCCCAGCCTGGCGGCAATGCAGGCTCCTCCCAGCTCCTCCATGCGCGGGGAGAGGGCTGCGTCCGGGGAGGGGTGGGCCTGGCCCCCCAGCTCCTACCTGGCGTCTCGGGGCTCAGCAGCTGCGCGGCCCCTGTGGGCTCCTCTTCCGGGGCCCTGGCCTGTGCTCCGGGCGGCGGCGGTGGCCAGGCGGCCTGCTCCATGGTGCAGAGCTTCAGCCGGATGGCCTCCAGCTCCTGCCAACGCGGCCCTGAGCCCGGGCAGACGCCCCCTGCTCCCCTCGGGGCAGGAGCGTGTCCTGCCGGAGACCCCGGGGACGACTCCCTTCCCTGGACGGGGACCCACTGTCCTTCCTGGGGCAGGGCCCCTCCCGAGGCCAGAGGCCGCCCGACCTCCCAGCCCGCAGCAGTGGCCCAGGGCCACCCCCTCCCCTCCTCAGCCAGCCCGTCTCGTCTCGGGGTCCCCCAGCCCCTCCACACGCCGCTACCTCATCGGGCACTGGACACTCGGCCAGGTGCTCCCACTCCAGCAGGGGCAGCAGGAAGCCTTCATCTTCACCCTGGTCTTCCTCTGCGTCCTCTTCCTTCTTCCCACCCCCATCTCCTGGCCCCAGAGGGGTCTTCTTGGTGCCCTCCCAGGCCCCCCAGCCCTGAGCCTCGGGGTCCGAGGAGACCGTCTGGAGCCAGGTCTCCGTGGGGGGCGGGAAGAGAGCCCGGCTCAGGAAGGGCCACATGGGCCTGCGCTCCCTGCACGCACCTGCCTCCCCAGGCCGGCCCTCCCGCAGTTTTAAGCCCCACCCCCTGGCCAGCTGCTCCCACTCGAGCTCAAAAGGCCTCGGGCGGGCGGGACCGAGCTCCCCCCAGCACAGCCCCGGCCTGGCCCCCTCGGGAGCAGAAGGAGGGAGTCACTGGGTGAGGGTCTTGGCCTCTCCGCGCCCGTCACCCCCAACAGCAGGTGCACTGGGCCCCCACGGGCTGAAGGGACGACCTCGAGTGCGGGAAGGTGGGGGTCAGGCACAAGGGGTCAGAGCAGGGTCCCGAGGCGGAGGTGTGATGAGCCAGAGCAGAGGCCTGGGGGCCGGAGCAGGGGTGAGACCTCCGTCCTGCATCCGACCCCTCCACACCCCCATCCTGTGGGCCCTCCCTCCCGTCTTTCTTTTTTTTTTCTTTTTTTGAGACAGAGTCTCGCTTTGTTGCCCAGGCTAGAGTGAGTGCCGTGGCGTCAGCCTAGCTCACAGCAACCTCAAACTCCTGGGCTCAAGTGATCCTACTGCCTCAGCCTCCCGAGTAGCTGGGACTACAGGCATGCGCCACCATGCCCGGCTAGTTTTTTTGTGTATATATATATTTTTAGTTGGTCAATTAATTTCTTTCTATTTTTAGTAGAGACGGGGTCTCGCTCAGGCTGGTCTCGAACACCTGACCTCGAGCAATCCTCCCGCCTCGGCCTCCCAGGGTGCTAGGATTACAGGCGTGAGCCACTGTGCCCAGAGGCTGCGTCACGTGCAAACAGGGCGGTGAGATGGGGCCTGGGTCCGCCCGCTGGCCCTGCCTGCTCCACGAGGGCCTCACCCTCACCACTGCCGATGGGCGGTGGACGGGACCTCTGGCCTGTCTGCCAGCCCGAGCCCCCACGCTGGGCACTGAGGCCGTCACTGGGGGCTGCACTTCCTAAGCAGCTACTAAGGGCTGGAATTTGGGACGAGAGGAGGAGAGTGTGGCCCAGACTGCAGCAGGGCGGCCGTCCCGCCCTGTGGGTTGGGATCTGGGGAGGACAGAAACGGGGCACCGAGGCTGCCGCTGGGCCCCTCCCCTGCAGCCCGCCCCCCCCCTCGCTGGCCATGCCCGGGAGCAACGGGCTGTGGGGTGGAATCTCGGGGTCTGGGAGGAATGAGCAAGACCGGACCCTGTCTCCTGGGTGGGATGCCCCTTCCCCTCTCCTGGCTCCTCTCAGCACACCTGCCGCCAGGTGTGGACCCTGGGGCTGGTCCGGCTGAGCTGCCACGAGGCCTCCCCGGGCTGCCCCCCTCCCTGAGCGGCTGCTGCACCCAGGTGTCTCCCACTGCCCCGTGTCGCTGCCCGACCCAGTGTCCCCTGCAAGCCAGGGCAGGGGCAGCGTCCCCAGCCGCCCAGGGGACGGCCCGGCTGGCCAGGGCCCCGCCCGTCTGTGGCCCTGTTGTGGGTGTCGCCAGCCCCGCTCTGAGCTCAGCGACTGCAGTGGAAAAACCTCGTCACGCCCCTGCTATCCTGAGGAGGTGACTCCAGGCCCAGCCGGGGCTCCCGCCAGCCGCCTGGCACCGGGACAGGCTCGCCCTGCGCTGACTTTCCCAGTGACGATTTTCAAGACACGGCATGTCCCGGACTTAGGCCTGCGGATCCGTGACAGCCCCGGCCTCCGGGTGTCCCCAGCGCCAAGGACCGGCGCCCAATGCCGAGCGTGGCTGAAACACTCCGGCCGCGTCCCAGCTGCGTGGGGAGGGGGGCCCACATCCCTTCCCACGCGGCCCACCCAAGGCCCCTGTGTCCCTGCCGGTCCCGTGTCCCCCGCAGCTCCCACGTCCCTGCAGGTCCTTGTCGTCGTGGGTTCGCTGTGGGCCCTGGCCCTAGCATGGCCAGGCCTGGGCGGCCATCGGGGCCACCTGCTGGGCGTCCTGACTCCCCCACCATGTCCAGCCCTCAAAGGCCGCCCCAGCGCCCAGAACTGCTGGGCTCCTGCACTGCCGTGACCTCTGGGCCTGCCGTCCGTGTCCCCCCAGCGCCACGTGACATTTCACCACCCCCCACCACCCACCCCCAGGAGCAGCAGTGGAGGGGTCCTGCCCTCCCACCCGGCACACCCAGGGCAGCGCGGACGTGAGTGTGACATGAGGCTGGCGGTCGCGGGGGACCAAGGAGGGCAGAGCCACGAGGTAGCAAACGTTCCTTTATTACACAGAGACGGTGACCCTGGCCCCACGCCTCACGGCGCCCACAGGTCAGACGTACAGTACAGCAGAGGCCGCGGCCACGCCCACGCCACCAACATGGCCGGGGCTGCGGGGCGCCGGCCCCCCACGACGGGAAGACACCCCACACTCAGTTCGGCTCCTTGGGGGAGACTAACAGAACAGGAGAGGAAGTGGAGGATGAGCCCTTTCCCTCCAGGCCCCGTCCAGCCCCCCTGACCCCTGACCCCCTTTGCCCTCAAGGTGTGGTGGCAGCCTGGCCCGGCCCTCGCCCAGCGGTGCCTGCTGCCCCCTTCGTTTAAATATCTAAACATCAGCTTTGAGGACCGATGTGGGTTGCTGTCACTCAGGGCTCGGGGGGCCGGGGCTTCCTGGGGTGGAACAGAAGGAACAGAGTGTGCAAAGGGGAGCTTCTACAGCTTCAGGAGGACAGTGTGGGGTGTGACCGGCACCAGCCACCCGGCCTCGGCGTGGAGTGTCCACAGGAGCAGGTGGTCCCCTGGGGTGCAGAGGCCCCGCCCAGCCCCACTTCAGAACACGCCGGAAGGTGCGGGAGGGCAGGGCAGGGCAGGGGAGCCTGGAGCTGGGCCTTACAGGTCTGGAGGGCAGCAGGGCAGACCTGCCCAAGATGTTCCAGATCTCAGACCTGGAGGGCTCAACTCTGAGTCACCTGGGACCCCAGGAGGGGAGTGGGGTGCCCCGAGAACCCCAGGAGGAGCAGGGCCCCAGGAGTGCTGGTTCTGTGTGTGTGTGTGTGGGACAGCACTGGCTCCCTCTCTGCCTTCCTGGTGCCTCCGGGCACCAACCCCTGGGGACCGGGAGGCGGGGAGGGTGGCCAGGCCCTGCCAGGGAATGTGCTCACCCCGGCCTGGCCAGAGCCCCAAGCAGGTGTGTGGGCGGCTGGCCACCCAGCGCCGTCCTAGCCCCCGCCACCGCTCCCTGCAGGCCGGCCCAGATTGGCTGGAGCTGTTGCTAGGCCCCGGGTCCAATCTGCCCACAGACGCCAGTCTGTCCCTGCAGGTGTCCGGTGTAGGTCTGACCTCGGCCAGGTACTGGGGGGGCCGCCGCCCCGCAGGCAGCTCCGCTGGGGCACGGTCAAGGCCTGGCAGGACCCGGAGTGGCCCCGAGACCCGCACAGCTGCCTGGAGCTGGGTCCCGGGATGGAGGGGCCGGGCAAGGGATGCCGTGCGCAGACGGGAGGACGCAGATGGACACGCGTGGGCTGGCGTGGTGGCTGGGACGGAGGCCTGAGTGCACGGGCGGAAGGTGGGGTGGGGGTGGTTGGAGTGTGCGAGACGAAAGGATCGGTCTGTCCCGGGTGGGCGGGGGTGGGGTGGGCAGTCACGGGCAGGTGTGCGGCCCACATGGGTCTGGGTGGAAGGGGGGTGGGTGCCAGAGACGGGGCTTTGGCGTCTGCTGGAGGCTCCGTGTGGGAAAACTGGCAAAACGGGAAGAACTTAGGGCCCGCCTGACCCCGGCCCCTGGGGCCTGAGTGAGCCCCCAGGCCCACGGCTCTCCCGTCCGCCCCTCTGCCTGGGATGCACCGCGGGGGCCCGCCTGGCCAGACCCTTCTGCCCCCCCCAGGCCCCAGGCCCAGGAGGGGAGAGGGCGGCTGTCGTGCCTGGGGCCTGCTGGGCCGGGGTGTGTCCCAGCCCCACCCTGTGTCTGCGTGTGGCCCAGGAGGCGCTGGCTCCCGCCTGAGTTCAGGCCAGAAGACTGGCCTGGGAGGAGCCCCCGGGTGGGCGGCAGGGCATGCGGGGCACGGGGACGGAGACCCTGGGCCAGGTGGGACAGGAGACCCCTCCCAGAGCGGGCCAGGGCTGGGAGCCCTTCCTCTCGGCGTTGGCCTCAGAGCAGGAGGTAAAGCTGTGGTTTGGGGTTTGGGGGAGGCTCCGTGGGCAGCTGCGTCCCGCAGAACTCACAGGGGGCGGCAGGGCAGGTGGGCCCCAAGCAGGAGGCAGAGCCGGGGTGGCTCTCCCACCCCTGGTGTGGCCCCTGCCTAGAGCCCCTCCTTGCCCGGCAGGAGGGAGGCAGCTGCCCCCAGGCACAGACCGCAGGTCAAACCAAAGGGCACACGCGTGGACAGGCACCAGCCGGACAAGTCCTAATGCAAAATCGCCGCCTGTGCCCTCCCCTCCCCAAAGCGAAGGACCCCCAGTTTGGTTCCACCGTGAGGTCTTCGGCTGAACAGGGCCCAGCGCGTGATGGGGCCGATGCCTGGCCCAGAGCCCTGGAAGGGAGGGGGCTGCCTCGCTTCACCTGCCTGGTCCCCCCAGCCACCCTGACACAGCACACTCTAGGACACCCCTTCTGTGGTCTCCAGGCCTCAGTTTCCCCACCCCAAGCCCCCCAACCCCTCACGTTGCCAACCCAGTTCTGTGACACTCTCAGCTGCGCGCTCCGGCCAGCCCCTCACGGGTTCCGGGGGGTCCCACAGTGGTCTTCTCGGTGCAGGTGACAGTCACCCCCAGCCGTCAGCATTTCACAGTTGAGCTGGGGGCGACCGGGTCCCAGCAGCTGGCGTGGGAGGGCCGGCCCCCCTGCAGCAGCCTTGTGGTCCGTGCCACCGTCCCTGCTCCGCGTGTCGTCCCCACGGAGGGACCCGGCGAGCTGAGGGGGGAGGGGAGGCCTTTCCCCACAAAGTAGACGCTCCGGTCTTCCAATCGAACGCCCCAGCCCTGACGCCGCCGGGGACTCCAGTTACCAGGGAAGCCGCCCCTGGGTGACTCCTCACCTGCGGGGCCAGGTGCTCTCCAGACACCGGCACAGCCTCGGGGGACCCCACGACCTCTGAGGGCCCGGCCGGGTTCCTGGGTGGTGCCACCGCCTGCGGCCGGCTGCCCTGCCCCCGGGAAGGGCACAGGAGATGTGTGGGGACGTCGGGGACAGGTGACAGGACGGCGGGTCTCCGTGGGCAGGTACACAGGGCCGCGGGCACGGGCAGCCTCCCACTGTTTCCTCGAGAGCCAGAGCCCCTGACATGGGTCTCACTTCTCCAAGTCCCTCAGAGCGAACCTCCGGGGAGGAGCTTGGTGGCCGCAGCGGCGGCTGTGTCGGGCGCGGAAGGGCGGATCTGGTCTCCACCTTGGCTCTCAGTTAGTTTCGATGGTGCACGGCGCCGGCAGGTGCCGGGTTGACAGGTGGGGTCCGTCCTCGGGACACTCAAATTGTCAATTTTTACAACTGTGAAGGAACCACCACCAAACCAACCGTCGCTCCCCACAGGAACGCAGCTCAGACGTCTTCGAAAATCTATCTCCTAAACTTTACATACTTCCGCGGCCTGTCTTGCTTTTTTTTTTTTTTTTTTAATTATTTGGCAAACATCATCATCATCATCATCATCATCATCATCGTGAGCATCAGCATCTGGGCCTCTGGGGACGGGGACTATGTACATTCACAGTAACGTAACTCGTGGGGGCTCCTGGCTCGCGGCCGGGCCGCGGGAGCCCGGTCAGTAGCTGGTCACTCGTATTGCACTCGGCCTGGGGGCGTTTGCGTGCTCGGAAGTGCCGGGTCTTCCGCTCGGCGTGAGCGTGAACTTCCTCGTCCCTTCATTTCCTCCTCGACCTCGTGGAGGGAGTCAGGCAGGCGGGCGGGCGGGCGGGGGAAACGCCAGGGAGGGAAACAGTGTGGGAAACAGTGTCACCCGACACACCCCGGGCAGGGCGGGAGGCGGTCGCCACGGAGCAGCACCTGGACAGGTGCCAAGGTCACGCACTGCCCTCGGTCCTCGCCGGCCGGGAGAAGGCAGGCTGCTCGTGCTTCTGTTTTTCTGTAAAAGTTTGGGCGAGAGGACGGTGGCCACGGCCAGGTGGCGAGGGCTGGACCGGGCAGGAGCCGGGGGGGAGGGGGACAGAGGTAGAGGACGCCGCGGAGAGAGGCCGTGTCTCAGGGCGGCCGCCATCCCCTCCTGCCTTCCGGAGCGGTGAAGAGTCAACCCACAAGATTGTCACAGTTTTGTCTCGGAATTTCGCCCTCTCTGGGGGGAGAGCTTCAAGCGCTTCTTTTCCACGAGTGGAAAACTGAGATACGAGAAGTCACAGAGGGCGTGAAGACAGACGGGGGCGGGGGTGGGGGTCTGTGTCTCCCCCTACCCCCGACACAGGAGGACACGTGGGCGGCACACGCGGTGCCCCGAGCGCGGCCAAACCGCCACACGGAAACAAAAAAGTTGCTTCTGGTCGGGCACAAACCCCTCCAAGACTTCAATATCCCCAGTGCCCCACAGGCAAAATCAAGACAAAAAGAGAAGAAAAAAAGACCGACATCCGAACAAGCCCGAGAGAGGAGGGAAACAGTGGGAAAAAATAAAAAAAAGTACTTTGGCAGTGACAGAGACATTTTGGATCTCGACTTCTTGGGTTTGCTTTTTGGGTTTCCTTTGCAGCGAGGTGAGTCCGGCATCCTTGGGTGGCTAGCTAGCAAGGTAGGTACAGGTGTGCTTCCTTTGCTTCTTTTTTTTTTTTAAAAAAAAACTTTTTGGATTTTTTTACTTAAAGCCAAAGAGTTTAACCTTAAAAGTTAGAAAAAGAAAATCTGAAACTAAAAAACGCTTCTTGAGTCGGAAACCGCGATCGTTCTTACCGTCTCCACCGTGCCGGCACACCCCAGGGAGGCCTGGGTGCACGGCGGCGGCCACGGCGGCGTTGCGGTCTCCCGCTATAGGATAACAGTTTTCTTTTTTCCCCCTATTCATCGGGAAGGGGGAACCCCCACAGTTTTCTTTGTCCACTTCTCTGAGTAGCTCTTTTGCCGACAAAACAAAACCCCGAAAAACTCTTCGCTGAACACATTAACCCACCCGTTAGATTTTTTTTTTTCATTCAAGAGAAAACGTGTGAAAGTCACTCAGGTAGGAAAACGAGAGAGACAGAGCATGAGCGCAGGCGCGCAGAGCCGTCACGCCTGCCTCACGCCTCGGCCGGGCGTCTGAAGCTCACTCGGAGGTTTCGAGGGTGCTCGCGAAGAGAGAGGCCGTCGCTCGAGCTGTCAGGTAGCTGAGAAGTTGCACCGGACGCGGGATTCGTCGCATCCGTGTCTTCTTTTGGAGAGAGGCAGTAGCAGCAGCGACTCCGATCGGCCGGCTTCCCGGGGCCGGGCCGGGCCGGGTGGGCTTGGCGGGTGCTGTGTCCGGCAGGCCGGGGGGCCGGGAGGGGTCAGCGGGGCACGGCGTCCAGCGGGCCGGGGGAGCCGGGGCGGGAGGGCCCCGCGGAGCCGGCCTCGCTGGGGCTGGCGGCCCCCACGGGCAGGGAGGGGTCCAGGCCGGTGGTGGCATCGGGCTGCCCGGGGTCGGCCCCCATGCCCCCGGGGCCCTGCAGGCTCTGGCCACACACGTGGTGGTGCTTCTCCCAGTCCTTGTGCTGGCAGAAGGAGCCGCAGTAGCGCGCCGCGTTGCAGCCGCTGCACGTCTCGCTGGCCTTGCGCCCGCAGTTCCAGCAGCTCTGTGAGGGGCGGCGGGGGGGGGGAGGCGACGGTCAGGGGTGGGCCAGGGGCTGGCCAAATGCCCAAAATAGCTCCCAGACAAAGCCACTCAGACCCAGCCATGCTGTCTCCCCGCGAGACCAGGAAGACCCCCAGGGCCACGGGCTGTGGCCACTCACGAGACACAACCACTCATGAGGCCATTCCACACCCCAGGCGGGTTCTCTGCGTGCTGGCTGGACCCCGGCCCCGCCTCCGCCTCTCTTCCAGGAAGCCCTCCCGGGCTCACAAGGAACCCAGATTTGGAAGGGGGCGGGCCTGGCAGAGCCCAGGCTGCTGAGACCTCTGCCACCCTCTGCCCCAGTCAGCAGGCGAAGTGAGCAGAAGGTGCCCGGGGTCCAGGTGCAAAGCCAAGGGGCTCGGCTGGCGGGAGCCTGACAGCCTGCCCCCTCCCGGCTGGCCTGGGGCTCCCAGGAGGCAGCGGCTTTGGCTCTGCTCCCGCCCCAGAGAGAAAGACCAAGTCCCTGGTTCTCCCCTGAAGCCTCTGGGGCCAGCAGCTCCTGCTCTCACCCGGCTCCGGCTGTTACAGCCACTCGGGCCTCCTTGCTGTCCTTCCCCGGGGCCCGCTAACCCCCCCCCCTGACACCTTCCTGGGGGGCCCTGCCTGGGTGTCCCCTGCCGGCCCTCCCTCCCCACCACGTTCCTGCCTCCCGGCACCCTGCCTGCCTCACTCCCGCCCCTGCGGGTCCTTTCTGCTCCTCCTGCTCAAATGCCAGCTCCACGCGTGACACATCTGTCTTTTCTGTTCCCGCTGTTTCTCCAGGGCTGAGAGCGTATGTCGAACAGCTGCTCGGGGACCGCGGCTGCCGGGGCCCCGCACCCTCCCGGCCAGCCCCGTGGGGCGCTGGAGGCCACCCCTTCTCACAGGACACTCCCGGGGCCTCCCCGGAAGGGGGTCTGCCTCTCCCCACTTCTCGGCCACCCCGGTTCTTCGTGGGGTGTGGAGGGTCCCGCGCCCACCCTGTTGGACGCAGCCCGGCCCCACCAAAGACGCCCCGGCTCGAGCAGGATGACGCCCTCGTGCGGGAGCCCTGGGCCTCCAGCTCCCACAGGTCGGAGAGGAGCCTGGGCGCCAACGTCGGCCGCCCTGGGGTCCAGTGACGGCCCTGCCACTTCCCAAGGCCGTGACCTCCGACACGCCCCTGACCCTCCCGAGCCCTGGGTTTCTGCACCTGCGGGTGGGGGACGCCCCCGGGACACCACGGGGTGGCACGGGACAGCATGTTTGCTGCATGGCAACCGAGCGCCGACAGCCACGGGGAGGCCCGGGGAGCTCCCCAGGGGGACCCTAGGCTGCGCTGGATGCCGGGCCGGGCGGCCCTACCTCACTGGAGTCCTCCTGCTGGTTGACCACGGTCAGGGCGTCCTCGGAGGCCTGCCGCCGCGCCTCGGCCAGGGCCCGCTCCATCTTGGCGCGCTCCGTGGAGATGAGCTCGTGGGCCTTGCGCTCCGCGTCCGACACGGCCTTCTGCAGCTCCGACATCGCCTGCCGCTTCACCTCGTTCACCGCCTCCTCTGCGGGGACAGCGAGGGGCCGGCGGTCACACGGGCCGGCCCGGACGGGGGCGCCGGCCTCCCCGGCCACGGCTTATGGGCAGGGGGCCGCGTGTACACGCAGGCACACGCCAGTGGCCTCGTGCCTGTGCAGACAAGCATGTGCAAGTAAAACGCGGGTCCCGGGCACACGTGTGCAGCGGCAGCACGCGGTGGCACTTCCAAAGCTCGCCCTCCACGGAAATGCAAGCGAGGGTCCCCGAGGCCTTCTCCCGGCACCAGAGCTGCACGGGCTTCCCTGAGGGCCGCGTGGACTACAGTTCTGAGCCCCTGGCCAGCCCAGGTGCAAGGGTGCCCGCGCCTCTGCGTGCCCTCCCGTGGGTGCCAGCAAGGCCATACGGCGTCTGCTGAGTGGCCAAGCCGCCTCGTTCGTTTCGGGGCAGACGCTGGGTCACAGCTGCCCGTCCCCGAACAGCAAACGCTGCTCTGACCCCGGTCTGCAAACCTCCCAGAAACGACCTCCAAAACCCCGTGAGTTCTGCCCCGAGCCGGAGCCCAGCTGAGCCCCAGGGGCGGAGGGAAGCTCCTGGAAGGCCGAGCTGGAGAGGGGTGTCGGGGGCCCTGGCGCCCCCCAGTGCTGCTGCTGCCCTGGGCCGTCCCCACTCACCGGCCTTCCTCCAGATGTCCTCGGGCATGTAGCCAGAGAGGGTCCTAGGCATGAAGTCCCGGTGGACATCTGAAACATGGGGGGCTGGCATCATGCACGGGACAGGGCCAACCGGCTGCCCCCCTCACGCTGGGGGTCCCATCGCACCTGGCTGGGTCCTGAGGGTGGGCGTGTGTGCTTGCCTGGCAGGGGGTGGGGTGGGGCGGGACCAGGGGTCCTGGTTGGAAGCCGGCACCTGTCTCCAAGGTGGGGCAGGGCAGTGCTCAGGCAGGGACCCTCTGGAGCCCGTGGACTTGGACTCGGGCTGGGAGCTGGGCGTGTCCTGGGCCCCTTTTGTTTTCTCATCATCGAGGTGGAGAAACATAGACCCTGGGGGGGGGGGCCCTAGCTCTGAGCCTCTGACCCGCCAGACCCCAGAGCTCCGGGCTTCCCAGCAGGCCAAGTGGGGTTTATCAAGGCGTCAGCCCTGTCCTGGCACCTGTGCGGGGCACCCCACCCCTGCCCTCACCCGTCCTCGGTGCCCACCTAGCTGAGACCCTTCCGGGCCGGTGGAGCTGCTGAGGGGCTGGGCGGCGGCCAGCGCGGGGCCCTTCTTCGCGTCCTCAGCGTCGCTGTAGCGCCTGACCCAGTGGTTGAGCTCCTCGCGGTCGGCCTCCTGGCACCGACGCAGCACCGTGAGCGACCGCCGCGTCTTCTCCACCATGTCCATGATGCAGTTCAGGAGCTGCGGGCAGGCGGGCGGGGCCTTCAGCACCTGGGGAGGCCCAGGAGCAGCCGCAGGCACCCCTGTGCTGCGGGCTCATCGGCCAGTGCCCACGAGGGCAGGGGCTCCTCAGGACGCAGCCCACGAATTCCCTAACCCAGGGGCTCCGGTGCCCTGCCGGGGAGAAGCCCCAGAACCGCGTCTCCCCGGACCTGCTGCTCTGGGAAGAGCCACTGAGCAGAGGCGCCGTGCAGGGAGGCTGGGCCTGCACCCTGCTCCTCCCACAATGCCTTGCACAGGCCTGGCGATGGCTGGGGCCCAGGTGAAGGGCAGGTGGCAGGAAGGTGGGGGGCAGGCCAGACAGGTGGAGCTGAGCCCGGGGAGCCCCCAGCAGCCCTGCAGGCCCCCTCGGAGACACTCACGTTGTTGAGGTGCTTCCACTCTTCCGCCCACTCACGCTCTGTGAGCCTGTGGTCGATTACTTCCTCTTGCCGGGACCCAGGCACTGCTGCAGGAGGGGCGTGCATGCGTTCAGGCCCCGCCCACACCAAGGCTCCACCCTATTAGCCCAGGCTCCGCCCACACCCAGGCTCTCCCCTATCCGCCCAGGCCCCGCCCACCCCAAGCTCCACCCTGTTCTCCCAGGCCCTGCCCACACCCCAGGCTCCGCCCTACTCTCAAGCCCTGCTCACACCCCAGGATCCGCTTTATTTGCCCAGGCTCCACCCACACACCCAGGCTCCACCCCATTCTTCCAGGCCCTCTCCAATGCCCCACCCATACTCCAGGCTCCACCCTGGTCTCTCAGGCCCCACCCACAACCCAGGTTCTACCCTGTTATCCCAAGCCCCGCCCACACCCCAGGCTCCACCCTATTCTCCCAGGCCCTCCTCAAGGTCCCACCCATACTCCAGGCTCCACCCTGGTCTCTCAGGCCCCACCCACAACCCGGGTTCTACCCTGTTATCCCAAGCCCCGCCCACACCCCAGGGTCCACCCTGTTCTCTCAGGCCCCGCCTACCCCAGGCTCCACCCTACTCGGGCCCCACCCACACCCCAAGCTCCACCCCACTCTCAGGCCCACCCACACTCCAGGCTCCACCCTGTTCTCTGAGGTCACATGCAGTCCCTGGGCCACACCTCCAGCTCCAAAGTGGGCTCAGAGCCAGGGTAAGGGACAGACACTCCTTCCCTACCCTGGGCTCTCATCTCACGGCTCCATGCCTCAGTTTCCCTGCCCTGCCTACCTCCTGGGGTGTGCAAAGACCGAGGAAGCGTGCTGGGGGAAGAGCCCAGGCTGACTGAGGACACCTGTGGGTTACTGAGCCCGAGCCCGCCTGCTCATCCCGTGTCAGCCCTGCCGAAGGCTCCATCCCTTTGCATTTTACAGACGGGAGCACCAGGCGGGCTGGGGGACGCTTTTGCCCAGGGTCACCGTGCGGGGAGTGACAGAGGCAGGTGTGGGCCCAGGCTGGCTCCAGCTGGAGCTGTCCTCAGCCCAGGCTGGTGACACTGATCCAGCCACCCTGGACTTGGCCTCGGGTGGCTCCGCGTGGAGCCCTTACGTAAGGAACCTCGCCCTGACTGGGGTGAAGCTCACTGACAGCCCGCCGGGAGGGAGGACCCTCTCGGAACCGTCACCCGTGTGGCCGGCGGCAACAGACACAAACTGGCAGATGCCGAGCTGGCCCGGTCAGCCGCCCCCAAGCGCTGCTGGCCACGCCACAGTCCAAGGTCCCGGAGCCTGCGCTGGGCCTGAACTGCCTGACTTCTTAGCTCTGTGAAATCCCGCTGAACGTGACTTAGGTCTAAGGTTTTTGTTTTAACAGGCCCTGGGAACTGACATGGGGCAGGGGCACCCCAAGGTGACCGGAAACTGAGCTGCAAGAAACGCCTGGCCATATCCCCACGCCCGGGACGACTGTTCCTACCTGCGATACTCCGAAATTCCCAATATTCCCAGCCCCCACCCTGTGCCGGCTGACCCCGCACTCTTGCTTCCTGGGGGCTGGGGTCTCTGTTCAGGACTTCTTTTTTTTGAGTCAGGGTCTCACTCTGTTGCCCGGGCGAGAGTGCCGTGGCATCAGCCTAGCTCACAGCCACCTCCAACTCCTGGGCTCAAGAGATCCTCCTGCCTCAGCCTCCCTCCCGAGTAGCTGAGACTACCGGCACCGTGCCACTGTGCCCGGATAATTTTTTCTATTTTTACTTGTTTGGCTAATTTCTTTCTATTTTTGGTAGAGATGGGGTCTTGCTCTTGCTCAGGCTGGTCTCAAACTCCTGAGCTCAAGCGATCCTCCCGCCTCGGCCTCCCACGAGTGCTAGGGTTACAGGCGTGAGCCACCATGCTCGGCCCTGTTCAGGACTTCTTGAGTCCCTAAAGGTCTGCTCGCCCCCCAGACTGGAAATGGCTCCCCCCCACTGCAGAAGGAGAGAAGAGGTGGCGGCCACAGCGCGTGCCCACCACCCTGCCCCGCTGCCTGCGGACTGCGCCGATGCCCTCCTCCATGGTGGCGGCTGAGGCCTGCCCGACAGCTGGCGTTTATTTTTGCATTAGCAGAAGCGGTGGGAATTATCACCTG